CCTCTAGCAGATATTGTCCGCTTTGGCCCGTTACATATTGCCGTCAGCTTCACAGTTTTAAAATGCGTCGGTTAGGGAGAGATTTCCAAACCCTTATAAGGAATGCTTTGTTCCCCTCTCCAACCAACCAACGTGAGATCTCACCGTCCTGTTTTTCAGTTTTATTGCACCTTTTTGGTGCCTTGGTTGAAGTTCAAGCTAGAGTTTCATGATACTTTCAGGTTTTCGGAGAAAGTTGATTTAGTTTCCTACTTAATCAGGATTCTCAAACTTACTGGGCCAGGCCTTAATTAGACAAATTAGGTTCTAGACATCAAGTTATTCAATTTTGGTGGAAGTCCCTGTTGTTCCCTCCCCTCCCCACCCCAGTTTTAGGAGTTTTCTTCTTTTTAATTCTCTCCTACTAAATGGTGACTTCAAATCATATATTCTTGATTTGTTTTTTCCATTTCTAACTACATGATTTCTATCAAGGAATCTATGGCATTCAGTCATCTTCTCTTTATTTTTCATAAGCTTGGAAGATCCCCAGGATACAATAATAAAGTGTTTACGTTTTTCCATTAGGGGAATGATGAACTTGCATTGGTCCAAACAAGGTGGTCATTTGTGAACAAGGACGAAAATTTGCTCACAAGATTGCAGAACATAAATTTATCCTTCCATTTTGAGGTTGAGCAGCAAGTAAATGGCATGTTTATCAACTTTTTTGGTTTCAATGGAACTGCTGGAGTCTGGAGAATTAAAGCTCTGGAAGAATGTGGAGGCTGGTTAGAAAGAACAACTGTTGAGGACATGGATATTGCAGTTCGTGCCCATCTTTGTGGCTGGAAGTTCATATTTCTTAATGATGTGAAGGTGTGTGATCCTTTTTAGCATTGGAAGTTCGCTGTGATATTGTTAGTCGCAATATTCTTTTAACTCTTAAAGTTCTCAGTGCCTTTGTGAACTTCCGGAATCATATGAAGCGTACAAGAAACAACAACACCGATGGCATTCAGGCCCAATGCAGCTATTTCGTTTGTGCTTCTCTGATATACTCAAATCGAAGGTATGGAACTTATTTGTTATTAGTTTTGAATGCAAAATGTTTTTTTTTCCTTCTTAAAGATTGTATGTTTGTTGACACTCATGTTATCATTGAGATTTGTTTCTGCCATTTTATGACTGTTGCCACCACCGTCGTCTGTAGTTGTCATTACTGCCGTTTTTTTTGCTGCCGTTGTCAATTTTGACCATTTTTTTCATAATTTGTTGTCATCTCCTAGCCCAATCGGAATGCCTGCCGCTGAAAAGCAAAACCTCAAAATTTGATCCCCATTTGACTCACTTTTATGAGATTCCATGTCGGCTGACGAGGAGAACGAAGCATTCTTTATAAGGATGTGGAAACCTCTCCCTAGCGGACATATTTTAAAAATTTTGAGGGGAAAGCCCAAAGAAGATAATATCTGCTAGCAGTGGGCTTGGGTTGCTACAAATGGTATCAGAGCAAGACACCGGGCAGTGTGCCAATGAGGACGCTGGATCCCGAAGGGGGTGGATTCTAAGATTTCACGTCGGTTGAAGAGGGAAACGAAGCATTTTTTTATAAGGGTGTGGGAACCTCTCCCTAGCAGACGTGTTTTAAAAACTTTGATAGGAAGTCCAGAAGGAAAAGCCCAAAGAGGACAATATTTGTTAGCCGTGTTACACTTTCTGTCCCAACCTTCTGTAGATTGTTGTAGGCGCCAACGTGTGTAGGCTTGTGAGCCACCATTTTTTCCTCGGTTTCATGTATTGGGTTCACCAACTAATTTTCCGTTTGTTGGTGATTTTGCTTTTGGCCCTAGAGTGTTCCAATTGTGGGTTTATGAAAGGAAACTTGTTTGGGAAGATGAGGGTTTTCTCCAACATTCATTTTCTTCTGTTTAGATTTTAATTTGTCCGTTTTTCTTTTTCTTTTGAGGGTGTGGTTGAGAGAAATGTAGTAGTGACGTCTAAGATGATTCTCATGGTACCAAAAATTATTGAACATAAGCTCAATGCATCTAACTTTTATTCATGATGAACAAACATTTGTCGTGATTTTGTTATGGATGATCACCTGACTTCATCGACAGATTAGACTAAAAAGTCTTAGTTACAAGACGATTCTAGGATTACTCTACGGATAAAGAATTCCAATGTGAGCGAGATAGTTGAGTTAGTTAATCATTGTGAATATGTAAGAGCGATTGGAATACTTAGTAGGGCGCAAGAATCTAGAGGTCTCTACATCTTTGAACCACAAATATCGAGAGTTGTTGCATGCTCTTAAAGTTTCCTTTTCCTTCGAAGCACATTTTCGTTTGGCTCATACGTCTATTTAGTTTAATTATTTGACTTCTTTAAATTGAGTCTGAGGTTACTTAATATTGTTTTCTGGAAACTAAATGATTCGTTGTGATGAGTTTTTTTTCTCCGAGTTTAACAACATATGGTAGAGTAGGGAATTCTATCCTTTGACCGCTCGGTGGAAAACATACGTTCTAATCAATATCAATTGAGTTATACGCATGTTGACTGATGTGATGATTTGTTATCATGGATTTGCTCGTAGTCACGAGCATGGAGATATGGGCTGTCTCACTTCATTAATATAGTCATCGACATGCAGGTTGATAGGAACCAGATCATATAACAAGACTTGGAAATATATTGAAATATCAATGAGAAAATGGAGGTACTTAGACCCTTTTCGAGAACATCCTACCTTTTCCCAAAGCCCCTCTGTTTATAACAAACTTCTATTAGACTACCATCAGAATTATTTTATTACCAAGGCAATTAAGTTCTAACACTTGTCAACATCGATAACCATAAACACATAACGCTTTTTAACATATGGTTTACTTTTCTACTCTTATAGTGATAAAATGTCTTCTAATAAGAATCTCTTGCTATCTTTGGAGTCTTCTGTTGCAGGAATCTTAGATTCCCAATTGGATATTTAGATTCTTATGTTTGTGCGGTAGGAAAATAGGACATCGATTGAGAGAGGAAAGAAGCATATCTCTAGAAACCTCTCCCTAGTAGACGCGTTATAAAACCTTGAGGGAAAGTCCAAAGAGGATAACATCCACTGACGGTGGGCTTGAGTTGTTACAAATGGTATTAGAGCCCGTCATCGGCTGATGTGCCAGCGTCCTCGCTGTGAGCCCCCAAGGGGGATGGATTGTGAGATCCCATATCAGTTGAAGAGGGGAACGAAACATTCCTTATAAGGGTGTAAAAACCTCTCCCTAACAAATGCGTTATGAAACCTTGAAGAGGAAAAACCCAAAGAGGACAATATCAAATAAGAGTGGCGTTGGGTTGTTACATTTAGATATTTCCGGGCAACTAGCCATTCCAGGTCCCCACATCTAGGAGGTATCTAATGGGTTTTCACCTCTCAATCTACAACTTCCTAAGATTTTTATGAGGTATGTAGCATCGTGAACATTTTTGTTGCTCATCGTGTTATTTTCTTTCATTCGTCAATTCTCTCATTTTTTAATTTCATAGTTCAAAATGTCCCATCAAATTCAATGCTCTTTTTCATTTGAGTTCAATAATACGTGGAGTAGAAGATTCAAACTTCTGACCTCTTAGTCGGAAGTATATTTTCATATAGTTTATTAGTCCATAACCATTTGGATGCAAGTTTCAAGTACTTAGTTTGATGCTTGCTATTTGCTAACACGTGATTTTATGTTTCAGGTAAGTTGGAAGAAGAAAGCTAATTTGATATTTCTTTTCTTCCTTTTGCGAAAGCTTATCCTTCCCTTTTACTCATTTACCTTGTTCTGCATAATTCTACCCCTTACCATGTTCCTTCCAGAGGCTCATCTACCAGCTTGGGTTGTTTGCTATGTTCCCGGAATGATGTCCATCTTAAACATTCTCCCTTCACCACAGTCGTTTCCTTTTATAGTCCCCTATCTTCTCTTTGAAAACACCATGTCTGTTACCAAATTCAATGCCATGATATTGGGATTATTCCGCTTTAAAAGTTCGTACGAATGGATAGTAACAAAAAAACTAGGAAGATCATCCGAAAACGATCTTGTTACTTTTGAAAAAGAACAAGAACTTTTGGTTGAAGGTACTACTAGTCTTCATCGGTCATCCTCGGAATCAGGTCTTCTGGACCTAACCAAGCTCGAGATATCGAAAAAAACAGGGAAATGCAAAAGAAATCGTCTGTACAGGAAGGAATTGGCTCTTGCATTCATTTTGTTAACAGCCTCTGTCAGAAGTTTGTTATCTGCACAAGGAATTCACTTCTACTTCCTATTATTTCAAGGTATCACTTTTCTAGTGGTGGGTCTCGATTTAATTGGAGAGCAGGTGAGCTAAACTATGTTACAATTTTGAAGTTAGTCCTAAAGGAAATAACCCCAGAGGCATATGGGTTACTTACTGGTCATCTGTGTCCTATAAAATCTTGTTCACTTTCGATCGATCACGTCTTGCTCGTGTATTGAGATCTATTTGCTCCCGATTGTGGACTGCTATGTTAAGGTTGATCATTCAAGTTGGGCAGAGGATGTGAGATGTTAAAATTATAGGGGAAAAGAAATGGAGCATTGTATACTTCCAGGTGCCAAGAACAGGAAATTCTGAGATTTTTGGAACCTTCATTCTTTATTTTTGTCAAACTGATGATTTCTGTAGCATGAAACATAATATATATTTCATTGTATGTGTTGAAATTCATTGATGTTCTAAGACTTGAGTTACAATTTAAATCAGTAGCAGGCTTGTCATTGCCCTCATGTTCTTACTGGATGTTCATAATATTAGCTTTTTATTATGAACTTCATTGTATCAAAGGATAAAGGTATCAATGATTACATCAATTTGGAGATCATATATTAAACATTGTTCAAGCACAGAATATTACCTTAATAACTGACTTCCTCAGAGCTGGCCATTTTGCAAAGCTTCTTCCAATAGAAAGGCATTGGTAAGAGAATCCTAGTTTGAAAAGAGAGTGAGTTGGGCAACTTAATTATATAATCAAATGGTTATAATCTCACTTTGAAACCAGAAGGAACCATCCACTGATTTAAGTTCAGAACTCAAAACCTCAAGTTATAAACTAGTGAGTGAGATACAAAGAAAACCACTCCAGTTCCCTCGAACCACCAAACTGAAAATCAAACTCCCAGGCCTAACGTTTCTGCTTACTCCTGGGGATTATAGACTGATTCTTCTCACTTATTCATTTTGGCAAACATGTTGCCGTAAAACTTGGCATCCTTCTTGTTGTATTCCTTCACCTTCTCCTTTAGAGTTTTGTACTCCAATTTCACATCCCTGAAGGTATCAACATCAATTGTTTAGAATCAACAATCAATCTTGGTATTGAGCATTTGGAGAGGAGGAAAGGTACATGCCTGTTATTTGGATCGATTTCGAGAGCTTTCTTGATGTCAACTTCTGCCAAATCCAAATCAGCTAGTTGGATATATGCTTGAGCCCTTCTATAAAGAGCTTTAACATTTGAACTTTCGAGTTCCAGTACCTACAATTGTAGTGATGTTACAGTTTCATCAAGAGGTTGTTTGATAGAAATACGCCAAAAGCAGCAGCAGCAGGCTTGGTCGCTTCTATATATATCTCAAATCTCACTCACCTTGGTGCACAATTTCTCTGCCTCCTTGTACAGCTTTAGCTTCAATTTACAAGCTGCATCGTTCAAATTGCATGCAACCTTCAATGCTTTAGCCTGTTTTTTCTCTTCTTCGCTAAAGGAAGAATCGTGTTCAATGAACTTCACAGCCTGTCCAAAAGCAAGCCCAAGTAAACAAGTTCACATCAGTTTTCATTCCATCCAGAAACTCACAAAAGCATAAATATCGTATTCTCTTTACATAAATTGTGTAGAGCAACAAAAGGAGAGATGAACAAAGCTAAGAGTCTATTCCGAAGTCAAAACGATCGTTTTTTATCTAGTAAGAGGGGAAAAAAACAGTTTTAAGAACACCCAGAAATTCCAAATTATTGCTTACGACCACGACTGTGCACACTAACCTAAAAAAAACAATTCAAACCCCCAACCAATCAGAAGCAAAACAAATAACTTGGGTGGTTGTATCTCCTCGAGGACAAATCCTGAAGTAGAAATAACCTTATGGATACAAACTAGCAAAGTACTCCAGTCCATCTTATATCCACAGAAGTTTGTAAATAAATTAGGAAGTAAACTATAAAAATGAATAAATTTCTAGATATAAGGTGTCTAAGAAGAAATTTGTTGCGAATGCATATAAGTGTTTGAGGTTGCAAGCAGAATAATCACCTTCTCATATCTCTTGGAGGCTCTGGCAAATTTTCCAGCCTTAAACAACACATTTCCTTCTTCCTTCTTTTTACCAGCAGCTTCAATCTTTTCCTGGGTATTCATATCCCATGATTCCTTCTCCTGACAAAAGGAGAATAATGATATGATAATTATAAGACGTGAAAATGAATATGGAAGTTGAGTTCCCATGTTTGCACAACAAAGTACAAACCTTGTCAAAAGCCACTAGTTCAACTTCGTAATACACAGTCGAGTTTGGAGGAACTACAGCTAACTCCTGTTTTGACTCAGATGAACCAAAAGCATACTCAGGTGCTATAGTCAGCAGGGCTGTCTCACCTTTCTTCATTGTTGCCACAGCTTTATCGAGGCCATCAATCACTTGTTCTATATTATGCAGAAGTAAAAATGTTCAGTAAGCGAGCATCAAACAAAAAAGTATACAATATCATAGCATAAACATACCTTCATCTGTTTTAAACTCAAATGGCTCTTCACCATCACCATATCCCTTCTTCAAAAATATCTTTCCATCTCCCAACTTCCCAACCAATTTCACTGCAATTCCATTGTTGAGTTAGAATTCTGAACTGAAACAATGTAACATACATAATGCCACTGGTTTGCTAGAAACTGACCTTTGACGACAGTGCCATCGTTTGGCTTCTCATACCCTTCTCCTTCTTTCAGAATTTTCTTGATAACCTTCTTGTCAGGGGTAACTTCTGAAACAGTCTTCCAAGATACCAACTCTAGTGTAATATCGAGAGATGCATTTGGTGGAACTGCACCTTCATTGCTAGAGGCTGGTTTACCCTTCTCCCCAAACCCATCTACAACAATAAACAATATAATGTAAGGGAAGTTTTGAATCAATCTTGAGGAAAATCTGTTGAAGAGACATACATTGTGGTTTCACCGTGAGGAGTGCCTTTTCACCTAGCTTCATGGTTTTTACAGCCTTTGCAAGAGCAGGGCAAAAGTAACCTGTTGAGAGGTACAGTTTACTTGAGATTCACATAAAACCAATGTCTGACAAGAACATCTTTTCCCAATAGTAGTTAATAAAAAATCCCAATCAAAGTCAAAGTAACACAATTACCATCACGAACGGTGAATTCCACTCCATCTGCTTTTGCAACAAGTGTTCCATCTTCCAGCTTAGCTTCAAAATTAACTGCAGTAACATGACATTAAAATCAACCGCTAAGAAACAACGAAGATTCACGCGATAAATAATATACAGAAAATTTTAACATATGCACTTGCCTAGCACTTCATCAAGGTCTTTTGGATTTTCCCATTTCTGTCCTTCAGTTAGGATCTTCTTGAATATTCCTCCATCCTTGCATATGTCCTTGACGCTTGTCCAAGATAGTAGCTCAACATCAAACTGCAATGTAGCACTAGGAGGAATGGTTGGTGGGGATCCAGATTCACCGTATGCCAAGTCAGGAGGAATGGTAAAAAGAGCTTTTTCACTCTTTTTCATTGTTTTGATACCCAGATCCCATCCTTTAATCACTTGTCCTGGCACCATAAAGAATATAAAAAAGTTAAGATATTGAAATGAACATTCAAGAATGAAAGCACCTTGCCAAAAAAGAACCAAGGAAACTACCTAAACGAGGCATGCTTGTATACGGCCTCAAAGAAAAATCAAATAAAGAAAATAGACCCCATCGTAATGGAAACATCATAAAATAAAATGCATCTCAATGCGCAGATTAGCAAGAATTTACTGAGAAAGAGCAGAAGCAGAAGTGCCTCTGTATAGGCCATAGGAATCCCCAGAAATATTGAGAAAACGGATGTAAATTTGCATTAACAGAAAAGGAGGAGGTCAAAATACATGGCTTTCCTTTAGGGCCTTGTTCTTAATCAGAACTACTTCAGCAGTTGAACTTCAGATATGTAGAATTAAAGAGAGATGTTTTTCTTCAAGACACATTGTTCTAAACAAACAATGTGGGATTTCACAATCTGTCACAAATGATTGCTATAAAACATCAATTTACTTGGTAGCGATAAATCCAATCCAATCCAATCTAATTGAACGACACAAATAGTCCGTACGAGAGTGGGTAATGGATTGAACATTACTCCCTCCCCACCGACACACATGCCACCAGTTGTTTATAAACCATTGCACAGCATTTAAAATCTTTCAACAGAGAAATTTGCATTACAAACTTTACCAACATAAAAACAAAAAGCTCCAATGTACTCCAATTGTCATTAAAATTGGCTCGATTGCCAAATACTAACAAATAAAAGAAACATAACAATCAAATATTCAATCCAAAATAATTATAATAAAATCCCCTAACCTTGGCCAAGAGTGAACTTGAACGGAGTTCCACGATCGCGGCTCGAATCAAACTGAGTCCCATCAAGCAAAGTCCCAGTATAGTGAACTACATTACAAACAACCAGAACAACCCAAAATCTCAGAATAAAAAAAAAAACAGAAAAATAAATAAAAGCCATTACGAAAATCCAATCTCTGTAGCAGCTCGTAGTGAGGCACCTACCTTCAACCTCATCGCCATTTTCAGGAGTGACCCATCCTTCACCTTCCTTCAAAAGCTTCTTCTTCAACCCCTGATTTCCAATTTCTTTCTCCTCCCCAACCTTGAGAGCAACGGTTTCATCAGGAAAATCCAAGTCGTCATTCATGTCAGCCGCCGCAGGGATATCAAAATCCTCATCCATGAGGGATCAATTAAAAACAGAGAACAGAGGGAAGGATCAAAAGGACTCGAAAGAAGGAAGAAATGGAGGTCTGCGCTCAGATCAGCGGAGGGATGACACTCAGGTAGTTTGGAGAAACGAGGATTAAGGGGAACAAAAGGTGGGTTCTAGAGACTTCTACGAAGAGAATATGCGAGGGTTTTTGGAGATTTAAATTGAATTGAAGAAATGGGGAACAATTATAAATATTAAAAAGTTAAGGACTGAATAATAAATGATATAGCGAAGATGGTTCTAGAAAATAAAAAACAAATAATAATAAAACCTCGAATTTCGAGGGAACTTATAAATTTATAAATTAGGTTAAAATTAAAATTAAATAAGAAAAAAAAATGGTAAAATATGCTAATGAATCCCATAAATGATGTTACTAGTATTACAAACGTTACTGTTTGATATAATATAATTTAAATAAGATATTACATTCTAATATATTATATATTTAAATAAATTATTTACTTTATAAATAGAATCATTGAGTATTTTGTTGAATTTTTATTTGTCAAGATTATCTCAAAACTCTTATAAAGTTGAGTCACATTTTCAGTTGATGTATTACATTCTAATATATTGTAATATATTATTTACCGAATAGTCCCTATGAATAAGACTATTTAAATAAAATATTACATTCTAACAAATATATTATTTAAAGAAAGTTTTCTATAAATAAGACCATTGAGAAGTCGGGCTGATCTACCTCATGGATGGATAAATAAATGTTTGGATTTCTTTTTTTAGAAGAGTTGAGAGAGTAGGCATTATTTATGGAGAAGAGGTAATAATGAGGGAGTAAGCATTATTTTTGGAGAAAATGTAATAAATTGGGGGTTATCAGAACCAATGCTGATCATTATGAAAGTTCAGTGACAAAAAGAAGGAGATTCATTAGCTCGTTATTTAGTGTGAGATGACGAAATCCATAAAAATTATTGAACAAGCTTTGGAAGGAATTCCAGGGGGACCTTATGAAAATTTAGAAATACGATATTTTCTGGAATGGAATGACTTTGACTATCGAAGCCCCACAACTTTTGAATTGGCGAAACAAGAACTTTATGCAAGAGTCGAAGCCCCAAAAGGAGAATTGGGCAGAAGTCATAGCCAAAAGAAGCGTCAAGAACTTCACTATTTATATCTTTTAATCTCAATTTCTAACGTTGTGTATGCCATTTGCATGGTGACGAAAACCTTTTAGGAGATTAGGTGCTCATAATGTAATAGGAGAATTTGCTCGTACCAACAAACATGTTGGTGCAACATGTAATATGGGGACGTAAAAAATGGGACACGTGATAATAAGTGGTATATCGTTGTTCTTCGTTAATTCTAACGATCGAAAATAAATATCATAAATTAGCATTAACATCTCATTTATCAAACTTAAATGAGCGGCAAATAAATCGAGAGTTGCTCTTCATTAATTCTAAGAATTCAAAATAAATATCGTAAATTAGCATCTCATCAAAACTTAAACGAGAGGCAAATAAATCGAAAACTCGTACTCTAAAGTAGCTATAAGGAAAAGTAGAAAGTGAAAAGAGTATGAAAAATGGAAGAAACTAAAGTTGGAGAAGATTGATAAGCATCTCAACCGAAGGGGCTCCAATGGTAGAATAGGTGGTTTCACTTATAGATCATCACTCTCTTCCTTGACTGAGTTTCCACCACTTGATGGTTTCCCATTAATAGCAACAAGCTCAGTGTCAAAGACAAGTGTTACACCACCTGTATATTCAAAATCCAACAAGGGAACAACACAAAACTCCACATACTTCAGCCGTGAATAAATTCAAATCATCATCGTTTGAGTTGGGTTGTGAACTTAATGTAAATAATTAGTCCTTATAGTTGCTTCTTTTCAGAACACTTGTAACTAATGTCAAGGATTAAATGCAAATGTTTCTAAGAGTCCATAGATTTCATCTTCATCGACGTTGTTTTTTAATTGGAGACCGAGAGCTAACGATCGGAGACTTTGGGCTATCTGGATGCATACTTCGTGAAATGGTTCATGCATGCTTGTTCATGCTTGTATGATCATAGAGGGACCCTTTTACCATTATGTATAAATTGACTATTCTATTTGTACAAATATGGCATAGGAGTGCATTCAATCTTTGTTTGTCCCCTTTCGAGAACACCTTACTAGTTCGGTAAAAGCTTGAGTTCTTTATAGATAAGTGGTAGTCTTGGATTACCTGGTATGGTTGGTGGAACGCCGTGCGGTCCATATCCTAACTTTGAAGGAATGGTCAATTTCCGTTTCTCACCAACGCACATTCCTAGTAATCCTTGGTCCCATCCTGAAAATGAAGGAATTTTCAACTCTCAGTAACTTCCCATGCACAACATCAGAATGAGTATTCACAGAGCAATTAGCAAAGTTTATTCAGTACAGATCTTTGCGTAATGACCATTTTATTGGATCTTTTGAGCTTAATATACAATTTTGTAGACTTGAGTTCACAGATCAAAGGTCATGAAAAATTTGAACGAGTGAAGGAACAAATTATGCGAAAACGCGAAAACGCGAAAATGAGGGAGCGTACAGCAATTTGTTAAGTTCAAGCAACATGAACAGATGAGCGGATTTTAAACCAACATCAGTTCCAAGATATATCCTAATTATAGATTATGAGAATAATAAACCAATTAACTAATATGGTGCAACTCATAAGAGATCTATCACAAAAGATGAATTGTTACTTGACCACAGCTGAGCTCGAACACATGAGTCGAGACAATGGTGAACAATATGGAAACATTCAAACTAAAAAAAAATAAAAATAGTAACAAGAACAAATAAACTATCTTGGCTGCACCAGAAACTTTTCTACTAATTACTAGATGTATGTGTTTTGTGCACAAATACCTTTAATTACTTTACCAGCGCCAAGCTGAAACTCAAATGGGACACCCCTTTCAAAACTAGAGTCAAAAACAGTCCCATCTGTGAACATCCCCTATTGAATCATAGGATAACAGATATCAGTCAAGAAGATGTGCGGAGCTAAAAGAAAAATCTTAATTATAAATGAATCGACTGTGTTCATAACCATATCAGTGAAAATCATCAATCTATCATGTTTGTATCAGCAGCAACTGTGTAATGATTCAAATTCGGGATCATTCCTTCAAATATACTGAATGATAAAGTTCTCAGACAAATTCAAATTCTGGTGTAACCCAGTTAGTTTTATTTGTGAACATTACAACATCCGTCGTGAAATCAAGAATGCCCTTTTTCTAACAGAGGCAGTGCCTTACCTTCCCAGCTCTTGACATCTCCCCAATTCTTCCTTTATAATTCATTGACTCATTAACAAATTGACCGTGTTTGTTTTATGCGCACACACAAAAGCAAGAGTCGAACTAAAATATTGTTCAACTTACACGATAATGAACTTTGATTTTATCTCCTTTACGAGTTTCAATATCACAAGATGATGGCCTACTCTGCAAAAGAAGAAACAAAGAGAAAAGAAAAAAAGCATCAAAACAAAGAATTAGCAAGAAAAGGCTTGGGGAGTGGTCCAGAGTAACACATTCCAGAATCTAAAGGCTGGCAGTGCAATATCAAACATTCATTGGAACTGTGAAAAGCTAGGGAAAAAACGCAACTTGCAGACACGGATCTCATGAAACCAAATTCATATTTTAGCATATAGTAGATGTTTGTCTGAGCAATAATGGAAAAGACTAACTGCCTCTTCGTCAAGCAGTTCTTTACCACATTACCAGCTAACGTTAATTTCGCGATACAAAAGTATGAGAGTAACCAAAAGATCTGACCATTCAACGTTTTCTCACAAAATTGCAGAAATTACAACTTTATAAGACCATTATCAGTGGTTATTGATTCTCATGGCTCAACTTCCCACCTGGGACTTAGGCTCAAAATGTTACCAAAAGAAAAGTTCAATTGCGTTATACTAGCATCAAGGCTAGGAATCAATTCAAGCATGTTGACCTACTTCCTCAAATAATGTCGAACTAATGAATGGGATCAATACCTTCCCCATCGGTCAAATCCCTATGAATAATAGGCCGGAATGGTGGGGGAGGATGCCCTAATGAGACTCTTAGTCAAGCCTTAGCGAGTCGGACCTATGAATCATTTCAAAGAAAAGTTCCACAATTCATTTTCCTACCCCACGGGAACAGCTCAATGAAGGTCTCAGAGGAATTTTTTTTGTGAAGAAGACGACATATTCATATCAAATTCACTTCATATTATGACAGGGGGAAAACTCCATCTCATAAATTGATCTCAACACAATCCAGAAACTAACACAACTTTACACTTTTCATTGGACATATGGATCTCATTTTAACAACATGCAAGTCAAATATACGTTCATAAGTCTGTAATATTACAGTGTCAGTGACCATAGAGCTTTCACTAGACAAGAACAACTTGTAGAACATAAAATCCATTCGTTAGTATCCAAGATCGTTAAATTCCTATCAAACTTGAAAATGGAGAGACCTCCAGATTCATAGCAAAAGGAATAATGTACGAAAAATCAGAACCAATTTCTGAAATAATAGATAAAATAAACAAATTACCGTAACATCAATCTGTAACTCAGTTACATCTTCATCCGACATCGCGTAGACTGAAATTAATTCAAACCACCAACAAAAATGAATCCATTAAATGGAATCGGAAGAACGACAACCGATTTATGACGAACTACGATCACAATACAATAGAATAGCATACCTGAAGTGCACGCAAGCAAGAAGAAAATTAGAGAAGCCTTCATTATTCACCTGGAATTTGTTCTGAGAGTGCGATTGTGTTGATCGATTGCTAAAATCCAAATAATAATATCTCGTAAAGGGAAATAAGAAGCAGATTAACAATTAAACAAACTAATTTTCATTACCTGATCCAAAAAAATTGGCTGATTCGTCGCAAATCTAGAGAGACGCGTCAGAAGAAGCGGTGATCGGGCTACATTTCAGACATTTTCGTTATCTCCACCGATCATATTGAAAATCTTTCAACATATCAGAAATTGTATAAATCTTTGTTATTGATTTTAAGCTATCAATCACTATTTACTCTTGCGTTTAGGGAGCGGTATTCACTTATAAAAGTGTTTCGTTCTCCTCTTTCAACCGATGGAGTCTGACCTTGATACCATTTGTCCGTTTTAGCTCGTTACGTATCGGCGTCAAGATTTCCACACCTTTATAAGAAATGCTTCGTTTCCCTCGTTCAACCGACATGAGATCTCACAGTTCACCTTTTTGGTGTTGTGCGCCGAAGGCAGAACAAATGTACTCACAACACCAATGAATGAAATTACACAAAGAGACACCAAGATATTTACGTGGTTCGAAGAGAAGAAGTTCCCCTACATTCACGGGTAGCAACCAATCACTAATAAACAAATTGTTACGAGTGAATATCTCACTATCATACTACAAAGACTCTCACTAATATGTCACTCAAGAAATACAATGTGACACACAAAACTTGATAAGTTCAGCAACAGATTGCTAGAGCACAGAACATAAACAATTGGATCTTAAGTGTTTTTTTATTAATTTTAAGCATGACATAACGTTTACCATTATAGTTGAACCTAAAAATATCAGCAGAAAAAAACTTAAAGTCCCAGCCTTTACAACGATGGTTGAACTTAAAAATACCAGCAGAAAGAAACTTAAATACAGAAAGAAACTTAAATACCAGTCCTAAAGAAACAGAAAGAAACTTAAATATCAGCAAAAACCAGACAATAAGACTAATCAGTCCTAAAGAAGCAAAAAGAAACTTAATGATGTTGAACTACCTAAAAATATCAGCAGAAAGAAACTTAAATCCCAGATAATGAGACTAATCCGTCTTAAAGAATCAGAAAGAAACTTAAAGTCCAGCCTTTACAATAATGGTTGAACCTAAAAATATCAGCAAAAACCAGACAATAAAACTAATCAGTCCTAAAGTCCTAAATAAGCAGAAAGAAACTTAATTAAAAATATCAGCAAAAACCAGACAATAAGACTAATGAGTCCTAAAGAAACAGAAAGAAACTTAATTAAAAATATCAGCAAAAACCAGACAATAAGACTAATCAGTCCTAAAGAAGCAGGAAGAAACTTAATTAAAAATATCAGCAAAAACCAGACAATAAGACTAATCAGTCCTAAAGAAATAGAAAGAAACTTAATTAAAAATATCAACAAAAACCAGACAATAAGACTAATCAGTCCTAAAGAAGCAGGAAGAAACTTAATTAAAAATATCAGCAAAAACCAGACAATAAGACTAATCAGTCCTAAAGAAGCAGGAAGAAACTTAATTAAAAATATCAGCAAAAACCAGACAATAAGACTAATCAGTCCTAAAGAAGCAGGAAGAAACTTAATTAAAAATATCAGCAAAAACCAGACAATAAGACTAATCAGTCCTATAATCAGTCCTAAAGAAGCAGGAAGAAACTTAATTAAAAATATCAGCAAAAACCAGACAATAAGACTAATCAGTCCTAAAGAAGCAGGAAGAAACTTAATTAAAAATATCAGCAAAAACCAGACAATAAGACTAATCAGTCCTAAAGAAGCAGGAAGAAACTTAATTAAAAATATCAGCAAAAACCAGACAATAAGACTAATCAGTCCCAAAGAAGCAGAAAGAAACTTAATTAAAAATATCAGCAAAAACCAGACAATAAGACTAATCAGTCCTAAATAAGCAGAAAGAAACTTAATTAAAAATATCAGCAAAAACCAGACAATAAGACTAATCAGTCCTAAATAAGCAGAAAGAAACTTAATTAAAAATATCAGCAAAAACCAGACAATAAGACTAATCAGTCGTAAAGAAGCAGGAAGAAACTTAATTAAAAATATCAGCAAAAACCAGACAATAAGACTAATCAGTCCTAAAGAAGCAGGAAGAAACTTAATTAAAAATATCAGCAAAAACCAGACAATAAGACTAATCAGTCCTAAAGAAGCAGGAAGAAACTTAATTAAAAATATCAGCAAAAACCAGACAATAAGACTAATCAGTCCCAAAGAAGCAGAAAGAAACTTAATTAAAAATATCAGCAAAAACCAGACAATAAGACTAATCAGTCCTAAAGAAGCAGAAAGAAACTTAATTAAAAATATCAGCAAAAACCAGACAATATGAGTCCTAAAGAAACAGAAAGAAACTTAATTAAAAATATCAGCAAAAACCAGACAATAAGACTAATCAGTCCTAAAGAAGCAGGAAGAAACTTAATTAAAAATATCAGCAAAAACCAGACAATAAGACTAATCAGTCCTAAAGAAGCAGGAAGAAACTTAATTAAAAATATCAGCAAAAACCAGACAATAAGACTAATCAGTCCTAAAGAAATAGAAAGAAACTTAATTAAAAATATCAGCAAAAACCAGACAATAAGACTAATCAGTCCTAAAGAAGCAGGAAGAAACTTAATTAAAAATATCAGCAAAAACCAGACAATAAGACTAATCAGTCCTAAAGAAGCAGAAAGAAACTTAATTAAAAATATCAGCAAAAACCAGACAATAAGACTAATCAGTCCTAAATAAGCCGAAAGAAACTTAATTAAAAATATCAGCAAAAACCAGACAATAAGACTAATCAGTCCTAAAGAAACAGAAAGAAACTTAATTAAAAATATCAGCAAAAACCAGACAATAAGACTAATCAGTCCTAAAGAAGCAGAAAGAAACTTAATGATTGGTTGATCCCAGATAATAAGACTAATTCGTCTCAAAGAAATAGAAAGAAACTTAAATACGAGAGAATAAGACCTTATAGACCTTAGGATAATTTACAACATTTGGAGCCAAATACGAGAGAATAAGACCTTATAGACCTTAGGATAATTTACAACATTTGGAGCCAGCGTCCTCGTTAGCACACTGTCCAGAGTCTAACTTTGATACAATTTATCAATTTTAGCTTGTTAGGTATCAGTTTCAGTTTCATAATTTTAAATCTAACTCGAAGGGAAAGATAAGACGTAAATCATCAATTTGGACCACAGATTTGAGGTTCGAACTTGTGCTCGCACATGTCAGATTAAAACTAATTAAATTCATGTTATGTTGTAACTCCGATCATATCGGGGTGGCCGCGTTGAATGATTGTATATATATATTTTAATGGAGGAGGATTCTTCAACGTTGAATATATTTTAACATTCTTTTTTTTGTGTTAATTGATGCAAAAATTTCCATGTTTTTCGCTTTCATCAGATTCAAGGTGATTGTAGTCCAACCCATTTTAGAGAGATGTCTAAAATTAGTCAAAAACCTGTAGCAGAAACAGAGCGATTCAAACCGCTTTCATCAATCGTCCTCGATCCATAAATATTTCGCATCGATTCGTCTTCCACATTCCTCGATTCTTCGTTGTCGGATCAATTTTCCCCAATTTTCCCCAATTTCGTTCTGGTTCATTATCGATTAATTTCATCTTCTAAGAAATTCACGGCCCAACTTTTGGTTTTTTGATTTACGCTCCGTTGAATCTTGAAATCGACTGGGAATTGAGGTAACCAAATCGTTTATGCTATCAAGGTTTCTTTGCGGATTATCATCGGGAATGATTCTCGATTTTGATGTTTCTATCTCTGTCTGCATTCGCGATTGGGCTATTGACTTGGTCTTTGGCATGTTTGAGAGGATTGACCGGACAATCAAATGTTTTGAGTTAGCTCATTATCAGATTTTTTCCTTTTCATTTGAATGCTTTTGTGATGAGATTGGATTCGAGTAGGTCGATTTATAGGACTCTACATTGGTTTGGAACTAGGGACATTGGTTTATGCTGGTTAATTAAAATGTTGTTTTATTTTGTGAAATGTTATGGGCTAGATCATGTCACATGTAACTGGATGATCATCCTTTTGCTCTCAAAGCATGGGGTTGCGTGTACAGATTTTTTGGTATTTCTATTGTTCAAAATGTTGAGATTTTATGAAACGATTGATTCGTTTTGGATTCACCATTTCAGAATAAATGCTGTGTGAGAACATGTTCATTTGGTATCAACTTGAACATATGCTATTAGTTAAGGCATTGTAAGTTCGATAAAAAGGTCAAAAGATCAAATCTCCACGTCCACTTGTTATTGAATTAAGCAGAAAACATGTATATTTGATTGGAAGGAGACATGGGAACTTTCTTGGACTTAGATAGCAAGAGAAAGTCTCCTTCGTTGAGTTTCTTATGTTTTTTTGGGTATTCTTTGTGTTATTTTCTTGTTAATAACTTGGTTTTTTTAGTTGGCCTCTCTTTGTATGGTTTTTTCTTCTTCTTAATGTTGAAATTATTCTAACAGAGTTACTAACTTGGATGGCTGAGACAGGCTAATTGATTTGCATGCTCTGTTGCTTCAAGCTAACTGGGATTCTTATGACGAATACTGCAACCGCAACTGAGCTGGATGCATTTTATCCAGTTAGAGCTGAATGTGTAGCAGATATTCCGAAGACCCGATTTAAAATTAAGGTATGAAAATATTTAAAAGCTTTTCATCACTCAAGGTAGGAAATGAGAAGAAAACTTTTCTTTTTGAATGATATTGTGCTGGAAGTTGGGTATGCTGGTATCTTTTCCCAGTAAACTCATTCATTAGAGAAAGAAAAGGAAAGAAAAGAGAAGAGAGCTTGTTTCTATTTTTAGTTAAGTCACTCATAATTCTTGCTGGTTTGCACTCCTAGAATTTGATCCTCTTCATGATGAAGACATCAGCTACTTTAAGTCTATTATAATATGCACACGACTGTTTTTATTTTCTTATGGCTGCAGCCGGGGAAAACTCTTAGTGCAAGAAGGTGGGATGCAGCATTTTCTAAAGATGGCCATTTGGATATAGCCAAAGTGCTTAGACGAATTCACCGTGGGGTAATGCATATATTTATTTGATAACAAAAATTATATATTTTAACCTTGTTTGCACCATTCTACATTTAAAATCTTATAAATTAATTCAAAGATTTGTACAAGTTTCCTTAAGTTCTATGAGTTTCTCAAAATTTCTATTGACATCAACATTTTCTTAACATTTGAATTTTGTCATTTCCATTGACAATTACATTTTAAGCTTTGGGTAGGAGTTGATATTTTTTCCCCTACCATAATTAGTACCCTTGTACATTACAACTTTAATTTGCCATTAAACCTACTTTTTTATGGATCCAATTATTGAACAAGTTGCTAATTAATGTTTGTTTGCAGTTGTCATTATTTTTCAGTGTTGCCTTGAAAATAAGGCTTCACTATTCATTGTAATAGATTTAACATTGCCGAAAGCTCCTGTTTTAAGTGCTTGATTTTAGTTTAGATCATGGCAATATTCTTAGTCTCAGCACAGTTATTTGATTTAATATGTCAAAATGTACCAAAAGAGCTTGTACGACTATTTTTACCACTAATTATGTTTTTTGTTCTAATAGGGAGTTCACCCTTCTATCAAGGGTGCAGTTTGGGAATTTTTGTTGGGTTGTTATGATCCTAACAGCACATTTGAAGAGAGGAATGGAATCAGACAGCAACGTAGGTAAATTTCTTCTCTTGTTTATGTTTGGCTTGCACAAATAGGATCTAGAAACTTAGGTAGCCTTCCAATTATCTTGGTAACCTTTGAGTTTAGTTCTCTTCTCTTACTCATGGGATTAATGAAGTCTACTTTTTTTTAATTTCATTTGATGATGGTATATTTTTACTCAGTTCTTGAAAAATTAATCTTTTCTTTTTTAGGAAACAAGGCTTCTCATTAATTTGATGAAAATAACTTAAAAGGTTAAAAACCTCAATTAAGGGAGATTAAAATATTCTCTCCAAATATGTTAATAGAATTTGATACATCAATTTTTAATTTTTAATTTTTTAATTTTTTTTTTTACATATTGAAAGAGAGAGTTTTACGAAATTTTTAATTTTCTAATTGTAAAATCGAGAGTTTCAAAAGATTATAGACCAAATCAGGAATTACTTGAAAGATTAATAACTATTTGGCATATTTAGTCTTTTTTCTATCACTAAGCCAAAAGCTCCAAATTGATTACCAATAGCATTCCCTATTATGCAGTAGTCAATCTGCTGAATCACGGGCAGTGAGTCTTTCGCTATTTACCCAATTAGTTTCATTTCTCAATATCAGTCCTTTCAACCTTAGTTCCCTTAGGAGCTAACAGTGGCTTGCCTTTAAGTTTAATTATCCCATAGTAAAATATAGTAGAAGACATCAAGAGTTAACGAAAGAATACGTGAAACCTCATGCCCTCTTTTAAGAATATTTTTGTCCTCATGTTCGAATAGTCAGCTAAAATTCATCAGGCGGATGATACTCAATCATGTTGGATCCCTTAGAATTGTTCAGATATTCTGTTGGTTCATTGTTTTGCAGGGACTATCAGATCTTCATCCGTTAGTTCCTTAGATTTAGAACTGAGAGTTGGTGCTTATTACAAACACATGCATGTGTTTTTATTTTTAATATATATGTTTACTCTAATATTAGCATACAACAATTTTTGTCCACATAGCCTTTTCTTTTATCCAAATAAATCGATGTTTCTCTTCTTGAATCAATTTCTTGTTTTTCAGATTCATTGAATCAAATAGCTGCAATAAATTTTTGTCTGGTGTGTTTATTTCTAGCATTTGAATTTTGTAATTAAAAACAATAAATTTTTTAAAACAAGATTTTCATGTTTTAAATGTTAGCATATTCTAAATTTGCTACCAAGTGCATATTCAAATACAGCTATCATATTAACTATACTCTATTTTTCAGTAAATCCCTTTCTTTTCAACCTCTTGTTTTTAGATCACCGACCCATGCACTCTCATGATCTTAGAAGCAGGATCACTTTTTTTAATAGAAAATATTGACTTTATTAAGGGAGCAATATGGCGTCTGGAAAGACGAATGTCAAAAGATGGTTCCAATGATTGGTACTGGAAAGTTTGTTACAACGGCTATTATCACTGCGGATGGACGACCGGTAGAGGAGGAAACAAGCACAAATTTACAAGAAATTGATACCGTGGGCACATCGGATGATTCTCCGGGTGGAAACAATTCTACTTTAGACAAGAAAGTTATTGAATGGAAACTAACTTTACATCAGATAGGTATGTGTTTGATTAACCGTCATATATGTCAATTTTAATAAATAAGGCAGTTGGATTTGTGTATATTCATTCTTATCTTTTTTGCATTATTCGTACTGGGTCTTTGGTTCTCTCAGAATAGAAATTGAGAAATATATTTTTTCTTTTGAGTGACAATTTCATTGATGATTGAAATTTACAAAAAGGATGAAATATCCATGATGTTTACAAAAGACCTTCCCAATTTACAATGAGTGAGGTATGACTACAAGAAGTAAAAATATTAGACAGTTTATGCCAAGATATACCTTGGTAAACAACATGTTCGAAGAGTTTTGTATAAGTCCGTGTCTTTTTTGCGAATATTCTTTGATTTCTTTGATGGCAAAATGGAGAAATTTTGATACTTAGACAACAATTAGAAGGTATTGAGGACAAGCTAGGAAACATGGACACAGGTATGTCCAGTCACATGTATCCAACATGCAAAAGGGAGTGTCCGTTTATATATATATATATATATATATATACACACACACACGTGTATAGTATTTTAAGTTGAGACTTATGACGGACACATGAAAGAAATGAAAAGTAAAAGAAAAACTATTTTATGTGCTACAAGGGAAGCCCATTCAGAAGGAAAATGGTTAATATGAGGTGCCCATTTATACATTGCAATGGCTGAACCTAAACAACGAAAAGAGAGGTTGCTGTAAATCCATAAAAAAAGTCATTTTACTTGATTTTTTATGTTTTTACTGGCGTATATTTTCTTTAATGTTAAATGACATGTTTCATCTATTTTGAAATGTTAAGTATATCTAGACATACACATAGATGAAACATGTAAATTTAACACCACGATTTAGTGCTGTTTCATCTATGTGTATGTGCTCACCTCAACAACACGACCTAGTGGGATCAAGACAAGCAATTAGTTTGGTACTTCATGTGGAATGTAAATTGTAATAACTTGTTGTTTGTGTACCAGAGAATATTTGCGGGCTAGTATTTGCATTTCAAAGGAAAAATGGATAATTGTCTGAGCATTCTAGTGTTTTTTCCTTCAAACACTGTATGCTATATTTTACCAAGGCTTGAAAATTATACCTTCAATTTTTTTGGTCAACTATATACCTCATGTTTTTCACTAGTTGTGCTTATCTTGAGCTATAGAATTTGGCTGCAGGTTTGGATGTAGTTCGCACAGATCGAGCTCTTGTATACTACGAGAGTGAAGCTAATCAATCAAAACTTTGGGATATCCTTTCTGTTTATGCTTGGATTGATGGTGAAGTTGGTTATATGCAAGGCAAGTTCCCCCCCGTTTGTTTTTGAAAAAAAAAAACATTTTAAAACAAGATATAACTTTTAAAACAGAAAAAAGTAGTTTACAAGGCATCCTTTTAAGGAACTAAAAAGAATATCATCCCATTTTTCTTTTGTCAAACGAAAGTTTCATAACAGAACTATTTGCAAATTAAAAATTGTGCATAGTTCATAATACAAAGAAAGAAATGTTCAAGTCCACTCATTAAAGTTCTTACGATGTCATATTCCAACTTGAAGTCTGATAAATTCTACTTGTTGGCAGGGATGAATGATATTTGCTCGCCAATTATAATTCTACTCGAAAATGAAGCCGATGCTTTTTGGTGTTTTGATCATGCAATGCGCAGACTAGTATGCACTATCTTATCTTCTTACTTTTCTTTTGTGGTGATAATAATATGTTAAATTACGTTTGGTGAAAAGAAATATGGTTAGGTGAGAAATTTTGTTTCTATAGCTTGGACATAGTTTCAATTTTTAAATATAGTTTTAACCATTTCAATTTAGTTTAATTTGGTTTCATGGTTTTAAAAGTCTTACTTTGGTTCTTATAGTCTAGATAAATCTCATAATCTTTCCCACCATTACCATAGACTTTTTATTTATGTGGCCATGATTTGATTTTTTTTTAGTTTTCAAGTGTAATAGATGACTGTATAGGAGTTTAGTGTTGAATGAAAAAATGGAAGGTTATAGGTGGTTTTCAAGTGGATAAAAAGACAGTTTATGAACAATTTGTGAGGTTTAGCTAAACCATAGGGACCAAATTATACTTCATGGTACAAATATTACCAAGATGCTAGGCAGCATATTCCAAGCCATAGCGACTATGTTGTAGATTCATTTTGAGCATAATTCTTTGGTGTGTTGTGCAAGCTTTATTGCATTAAACTAACGAAGTTAATGACAAGACACAAAATCAAAAGTTTATAGTTAAGGCTGCGAGTTTTTCTTTTGAAATACAAAGATTAAATATAACTTCGAGAGTATAGTGGCTAAAATTCATAATTAAGCCAAAAAATTATTAGAGGGGGAGAAAAACCTTTGTTTCTAACAGAAACGAACTGCTCAATGTTACAAATTGTATATTCTACTTTTTTTCCAGTTCATAGTTCTCACACTCTATTCTCTTCCCCCTCCCTAATGGCAGAGAGAAAACTTTAGGTGCAATACTGGTACCATAGGAGTGCAATCTCAGCTCAGTACGTTATCACAAGTAATTAAAATTGTTGATCCTAAGCTTCATCAACATCTCGGTATGGATTTTTCTTTTTAAAATCATTTTCTAACAGTAGGACCCAGAAACTGCATTTTGCTTGTCGTTTTCGTTTCTTGTTTTAATTTTTTTTTTCAATTTTATATGCAACTCCAAACGTCCGATTGGTATTAACTATTTGAAATTTCTATCTTTATATCATGGCCATGACAATTCTCCAAATCGAGACAATGTATACTGAGTTTCTTTAGAATGCACAGTTCAATGGTTTTCATGGTTTTGTACCTTCTCATTTTGTGCAAGACGCTTGATTTTTTTTTTTTTAACTTTTATTTTTAGAAGATTTGATTCGATTTCAGAGTTGAAATAAAATACATATTTATAATTCTCATAAAATATCAAATATTTATTTCTCGTTCATTATATCGACTTCTTTTCCTTACTACTCTCGCCCTATTCTCTCATGTTTCGTGGTTCCTTTTTGGTTCAATTTTCGAGATTATGTTTCAGAAGATTACTTTCATGTTTGCAGAGGAGTTGGATGGTGGAGAATACTTGTTTGCATTTCGGATGTTGATGGTGCTTTTTCGCAGAGAGTTCTCCTTTGTGGACAGTTTATATCTTTGGGAGGTAAAGAGTAACTATTTGATGAGCTTGATAGAAAAAGTGGTTTGGATTTCTTGGTGTTTCTTGAATATTCATGAGTGTTGAAGTTAGCTAATTAGTGTTTGAACTCATTTTCCAAGTCCCTTTACCACTTCAATGTCTACTAAGCCAACCATAGTGGTGAACCTTTCCCAATCTAGATTGATTAAACACATAATGAAAGTTGAAAGATTTCAAACAAAAAACACCAAATGAGCGATGTAGATTTTCTAAATCCAAAGCTTGTTCCTATACTCTTGATTCATTGTTGTGTATTCTATTAGAGTTCAAGGGACCTAATGAACATTTTAAACCATATGGATTTGTACTGAAGTGTAAAAACACCAGTGACATATATTTAGCTAGATTTTTATATAATGTAGCATGGTATGTATGAATTAAAATTTGTTTAACTGATACAGTAATATAGACTGGTTTCAGATGATGTGGGCCATGGAATACAATCCAAACTTGTTCTTAACGTACGAATCGGGGTCTGATTCGAAGGGTGGAGGGGGAACCGGTGGGAACGACAAACATCTAAAACAGTATGGGAAATTTGAGAGGAAAAATGTGAAGATGGGACCCAATGATCAGCAACTTCCGCTTCCAGTTTTTCTAGTTGCAAGTGTCCTCGAGGCCAAGAATAAGCGAATTCTCAAGGAAGCCAAAGGTTTGGATGATGTTGTAAACGTAAGACATACCTTCTCCTCTTCTTCTTTGTTTTTTCCTCTTATTATATCTTACCATTCATAGGATTATACCTCTCAATAGGATTCGAACCCTTTTAATGTTGATCCATGATTTTGGGTTCTAGATATTGGGTGATGTAACTGGAAATCTGGATGCCAAAAAAGCATGTAATGAGGCGTTGAAACTACATAAGAAGTACTTGAGCAAGGTATGAACATGTGGGGACTTTCAGTTGAGTTAGCAGCTATGAAATTATTAGTGTCCTTGTCTCTTAAAGGCCTATTTTGCTTGCAGATCAAGAACTAGCAAATGGCTGGTAGGCTCAAGATGGGACAAAGAAAGCCAGAGGATTGCTACTTCAGAAATGATTCCCATTCTGTTTCCATTTATCCATCATTCCAAGGAAGTGATCGAACGAAGAAAATTCCAAGTTTGGTTTGTGTATATATTTCAGATGTTTGTGTATTATTGTGGCTTTTGGCCTTTTGGTTATTCATATCTCTCTCAACTTATCTTTGGATTCCACTATTTTTTCAAATACTTCATTACATTTATGCTGATTTTCTGGGTCAAGAAACAAGATATGTTCTAGGGGTTGAAGAATTTTGAGGCACCCTTTGTTATTTTTTCCTTTTTATATAGACTACTAAGATTGTGTAAAGTAAAGTCGGGGTGTCATAGCTAAGCCTATTGCTAGCCGATATTGTCTTTTTTGGGCTTTTCCTTCTGGGCTTCCCGTTAAGGTTTTAAAACGCGTTTGCTGGGGAGAGGTTTTCACACCCTCGTAAAGAATGGTTTGTTTCCCTCTTCAATCGATGTGTAATCTCACAATCCACCCCTTTTGGAGCCAGCCTTCTCGCTAGCACACTGCCTCATGTCTGGCTCTGGGACCATTTGTAATAGCCTAAATCCACTGCTAGCAAACGTTGTCCTCGGCTTTCCCTCAAGATTTAAAACGTGTTTGCTAGAGAGAGATTTTTACACTCTTGTAAAGAATGTTTCATTTCCCCTTTCAACTAATGCATGATCTTAAACTTGGAAAGGACTTTATTATTATAATTGTCTATTCTTGGCCAATTACGTATTCGTCTCGTTCTTCATTAGTTCCAAGAACCGTATAGACTCTTGTTTGCACTCAAAGTTGGCTCGATATTGCCTCGATGGATCTTGAATTCTATACTTTGTTCTATCACGATCTAATTTGATAAAATTAAAAAATTTTAACTTATCATAACAAGTTTGGGGTATAGAAAGAATTATAAATTTATACCATTTTATTATTAAAATTTTAAAATTTTCAATTTTATTAATATCTTTTTTATTTATTTTTTAAGAAAAAGAATAACTTTTTTTTAGGAAAAAAAAAAAGAAGAGAAGTCAGAAGTGGGGATATTGATTTGACTGGAGTGAAAATAATGTAGTGTGTGGGGCCGTCCTTGTTAAGTACTCTGCACCATCGTCTTCTTCATCTTCTTCTTATTTCTGTGCTCCCCATTTTCAATGGCTTGGGATTTGGAATGGAACTCCAACAACCCATATCTTTTGGGCCCACTTCCATGTGATTTCTCTGATACTTTTCTATCTTTCATTCATGACGGGACGTCTCTTCTTCTCTCTCTCTCTCTCTCTCAAAAAAAACCCTTCTCGGCCCCTCTCATTGCTCGTTCGGTGCTAGAGGTTCGAGTCTCGAAATTTCCAAAAACCCAGATGAAACTTGCTCATTTTCATGTTAAAAACGTGAAGTTTTAAGTCGAGATTGAAATAATGAAACTTTAGATTTTAGCTTATGATTGGATTATAACTATATAAATTGACCAGAAGGATGGAAACATCAACTCGAAGTTGATATATATCTAAATTAATTAAACTTATTTCGAATAATATGAACTATTTATGAGCTTTCATAAAAAAAAATTAGAATAAAATTTTTATTTTTTGCTTTATTACCTACTTGTCTTGAATTGTTTTTAAAAGCCAAAACTATTTCTATAAACCAATACAAACATATTTCCTAAATAAATTTTAAGAAATCTCCCATGTATAATTATATATGTATTTCAAGTTAAATAAGTTACCAGAATTATTAATTCTTTTAAATATTTATTCTTTCTCGTATTTATATGATATTTGATTGTATAGTATTAATTAATTCATGTATTGGACTCATTTGCTTTGATAAAATTTGAAGGAAAAAAAATCTAATTTAGTTATCCATACAAGCTATTGATTTAAACAATTATCAATAAAACCAACGAAAAGTGTTACAACAAAACTGACGCGAAAATTTATGTAACACAAACAAAATAGACTCAAGGAAGGTAGGACTCAAGTCTACCTCTCAAATTGTCTTGGAAAGAACAAAAAACTAAGAAAATTGGTACAAAAATTTGGGGAGATTAAAATGAAATTACCTATGACAAACACATCTATAGTGATAAGCACTATTGATCGGGTCATTGCCTTCAACTGGCACTTGCTCGGCTCTGCACTTGTATTTGCATCCTCTACATTCATTATAAGTACATATCGGTGCTGTTGAACCAATCATCAACCTTCTTGAATTTCTCATCTGAATTTTTTAAAATTTCCATAAAACATAAACACATTATAGCTTCGAGTCTCGAGCATTTAACGACTACTTTAAAAGTACATTCAAGAGATCAGAAACGCGAAACAGAGATCAAGAAACGAGACGCGAATTCCTAAATGATAAAAATCGAAAAAGATCTATCGTCCGGATAGTACGAACAACTAACCTCGGGCGCGATTGTTGTTTGTACGGAACGGAATTGAGGCAGAGGTTTAGCGAAAAGTTCGTCCTCTGTTGAGAATCGTCCTGAACGCGAAAAAAGATACGGAGAGAAGATGAATAAAGTAAATCAAGCGACGAAGAACGTAAACCGAGAGAGAAAAAGAGAGAGAGAAACCTTTTAGCGCCATTGTTGAGCAGAGAGAGCAGAGAATTAGGGCTAGAAGGAGGAGGAGAAGACGAAGAAGTGGTTTCGCAGCTTTCGCCATTGGAAAAGAGAGGATAAGAAACCAATTGCTGCAATTGTAGAATGAGAGAATGGAACTCAAAAAGTATTAATACTTGTGATAAAATGGGAACTCTTTCAAAATAAATAAAAAAAATTGCAAAATTTAAGCTGTGAAATGACAGTTTGGTCCCCCATCCTCTCTGCACCCATATACCTTGTTTGTCCCCACTCCATGGAATGTTTATAGAAATTACATATATACCCCTCTTTTTGTTTTCAAATTATTTTTGTCTCCTTTTAAATTTTAAAATTTTAAAAATTTGAATTGGAGTAAACATCGACCCGAGTCTAGCTCACTTTTAAAATATAAGTTTGAATATTTTTACGTCAAGAGAACGGTTATGTGTGATTAGAGTTCAAAGACTAAAATAGAATTAACCTAAAGTTTAGGGACTATAATAAATATTTTAAATTCTTTTATAATTCTTTTTTTTTTCCATAATTATCGAATTTTACCTTTTTGAACACAATTACCAATATACCCTTATAAGTTGACACATAGATAAAATAATAATAATAATGTCAAAACTACTCATATTTAATTTCTTTTAAAATGGATTTATATTACTTTTTCGAGGTTATATATGGAATTGTATTATGTAAATTCCCGTTTTTTTTTCATAACTATTCAGTTTTACCTTTTTGTCCTTGCATCTAAGCATAATTACCAATATACCCTTATTAATTTGCATGCATATATATATATAAAAAATATTATAAAAAACGGATGAAATCTGAATTTTAAAAATAATGTCAAAACTACTCATATTTAATTTCTTCTAAAATGAAGTTTATATTACTTTTTCGAGGTTATATATGGATTTGTATTATATAAATTCTTTTTTTTTCATAACTATCGAATTTTACCTTTTTGTCCTTGTATCTAAGCAAAATTACGTTACTTTTTCGAGGTTATATATGGAATTGTATTATATAAATTCTCTTTTTTTTTCATAACTATCGAATTTTACCTTTTTGTCGTTGCATCTAAGCAAAATTACCAATATACCCTTTTTATAAATAACGGATGAAATCTGAATTTTAAATATAATGTCAAAACTACTTATATTAATTTTTTTTAATAGGGGATTTTACGAAATTTTCATATTTAAAAAATAAATATTTTTAAACATATAAAATAAGATATTTTGTGAAGATATTAATATTAATAATAATAATAATATTATTATTGTGATGAAAGGTCTAGATGGGTCTGTGAAGTTCCATAGAGAAGGATCTAGGGACATTCAATTCAAACCTTATAAATTGGTAGACAATTCATTCAATTGCTACAAACAAGGACAAATTTCTCTCATTCATTCAATTTTCCCCCCTTATATTCCTTTTTATTACTTTTTCCCCCCACTTTGTACGACCGAGTAGAAACTTCTAGGACGTTTTATAGGTTTTAGTGGACAAACACTTTTACATGGTCCACCGATCTATACCCAGAATTTGGATCAGGGTTTGGGATATGAGTTTGACACTTAATGACCCCGACATTCTCTTGCAACATGGTCATGTTACTTACTCGTTTCTAAAGTGACGAGAGAGTGCGAGAGATGCAGTGCTGACGAGCTCGTCGAGATGCTTAAGTGTAGTGTACGATGTTGGGACTGCGTCGAGTAGAAGAGACGTGTAGCTAGCTGAAAAGTACATCAATTAATGATATGCTAAACGGTAAATAGTATGAGATCCCTAATAGAACTATCTCTGTAATAGATGCGTTTTAAAACTGTGAGGTTGAAGACATATATAAAGATTTTAAAAAAAATATAAAAAAAAAAAGGAGGCCATGCCAAAAAAGGAAGCGACATGTCGTGGCTATAGGGAAAATGGGGTTAAAAATGTAGGACACAGGCTCCTCCACTTATGGACACAACCCCTTCCCGTGTAGGGTACCCTACGCAGATTCCGTTAGGCCTTTTTTTATCCCGTTTTGTCGTTGTTGGTTATACTTTATTCACAATTTGAATATTATTGTCTTTTTTCTTAAAAAAAAAAAAAAAAAAGAAAATTTAGAAGAAAATATTTGGTAATAAATAAATTAATTAAAAAAATTATAATATATGAATTTGAGTTTATGTGGACTTGGGCTTGTTTTGGTTTTTTGAGCCCAATCATTTTTACGTCAATTTGGGCTTATTGGGCTTATTGGGCTATGAATATAAAGTATAAATAATAATAATAAAAATAAAAAATATATATATTTTTTGAAACGGTCGCTTTCACGCAAGGTTTCACTTTCCAACCGCGGGAAACGATCTGCAAAGTTATGAAATGAACAAATCTCCAAGAAACTCTCGAACTTGGAAGGATTCCAATTCAAACTCTGTAATCTCTCTCAGTTTATCCCACGAAACAGCCGAAATCATTCCTCTGAAACAATCCCTTTCCCTCCATTAACATCCTCTCTCGATTTCCCCATCTTCTTCCCCAAGAAAAGCATCTCGATTTTGTTCTATATCTCTTCATCCATGGCTCATCTTCTTCACTCATCAATTCACCGTTTCTGTTATCTTTCTTCCTCCCACACTCTTCAATGGCCGCCGAACACCCTACTGTTTTCACCCCTGTCACCTTCTCCAAGTACTCGAAGCGGGTTCTTCTCAAAACTGTGCTGGACTGCAGCGATGGTGGTTTGGGGTTTGTGGATCAGAAATTGGTGATCGGAGGCTGGGTGAAGTCCTCCAAGGAGGTTTTTAGAGAGGCGGCGGTGCCGGCTGATGCTAGTGTTAGAACGGCGTGTGATGCTCTGCCGCCTAGGGCTAAGGATGTTAGCTGCATTGAGATTTTACAGTCGCGGATTCCGATCGTTAGGTCTTTGCTTAGGATGCTGTATGGAAATGATTTACACGCCGGTGAGAAGTTGGAGACGTCTGTTCATAAGCCGCCGCCGCCGCTTCCTTCCACTACTTTTCTTGTTGTTAACGATGGCTCTTGTGTTGCAAGCCTTCAGGTAACCTCTAATCTATGCACGCCAACTGTTTGCAAGTTTGTTCTCAAAGTATAGAAACTTGCAGGTTGCTGTTGAGTCCTCGTTACATCATCCTGGCCAGCTGATGCCTACGGGAACTTGCATCTTGGTGGAAGGCATATTGAAGCGGGCACCGGCACCTGGGAAACATCTGGTTCGGCTTGAAGTGGAGAAAATCCTTCACGTAGGGAAGGTTGAACAGGAAAAGTACCCACTAACCCAAAAGAAGTTGCTAATAGATCTTTTGAGAAAATTTTCTTATTTTCGTCCTCGAACAACAACGGTAATTCGAACAAGCTTCAACCATACATTGCATTTCTGTTCTGTTTTATGGGTCTGTTTGCATGCCTATTATTATACCGCCATTAGTTTTAAGATTGTGCTTAAGCAATAGCAGCATGTGAATTAGAGTAAGAGCCTTGAGATCAGAAAAATGGTGATACAGTTCAATCTCTGGTAAAGGAAAGGATTTATATAGTAGGGTTGTCCATGAAATGAAATTAGTCGAGGTGTACGCAAGCTGAACTGAACATCGCAGATATTAAAAGGGAAAACCAAGAAGATTTATATGTATAGGTTGATGTTCTTGATCACGGCGTTTAATGAACTGAATAGTATCGATGCAAAGGGCTCTAGGGCCGAAGTTTGAGAAGAGAGTTTTTCATATTTTAACCATTGAAGCCAATGAAGTATTGGATCTTGATCTTCATTGATATTCATTACCTTATGCAGGTAGCAACTGTTATGAGAGTTCATAATGCCTTGACTTTTGCAACTCACACATTCTTCCAAAATCATGGCTTTCTTTATGTGCAATTACCGACCATCACGACCACAGACAGCGAGGGATTCAGTGAAAAGTTCCACGTTACAACCCGTGCCGGCAATTCAGAAGTTAAGAAAATAGAATCAACAGAAGACAAGGAAACTGATGGTGTGAATCTTGAAACTGTTAAGGCTGCTGCAATAGAGAAAAAAAATATTGTCAAAGAACTCGAGAGAAGTGAAAGCAACAGGGAAGCCTTAGCTGCTGCAGTTCAGGATTTAAAGAAGACAAATGAACTTGCATTACAATTAGAAGCCAGAGGAAAACAAAAATCCAAATTGAAGAAAGATAAAGTTCACGTTTCTGAAAATTTCTTCCCACAAGAAACTTATCTCACGGTGTCTGGACAACTCCATTTGGAGACCTATGCATGTGCCCTTGGAAATGTTTACTCATGCGGACCGAGGTTTCGGGCAGATAGAATCGAGTCGGCAAAACATGCTGCTGAAATGTGGATGGTGGAGGTCGAAATTGCTTTTGCTGAACTCGAGGTATGTATCTGTGATCATATACTTATTCCTTTAGATTGCTTAGTATTTGACATATAAATTATGGGTCTAAGAGTCCATGTTGATTTAGCCATTAAAACCTTTATTTTCTGTGATCAGTAGTTGTTTCTAATATCATTGCACCATTGAAATGAAGAATTTCCATCTTTTAACTTGCGTTTTGTATCATCTTTTGGGGAGTCCAGGATGTCATCAACTGTGCTGATGACCTTGTTAAGTTCCTCTCCAAATGGGTGTTGGAGCACTGTCTGGATGATATGAAATTCGTGCAAAAACGAATCGACAAAACTAGCATTCATCGCCTTGAATCAACCATCACAAGTTCATTTGAGAAGGTCTCTTACACTGCTGCAATAGAAATTCTGGATAAGGTGAATCTTCGAACAGATGCCTCAGTTTTTCGTTTCCACCCGTTTATCTGAATATTGAAAAACAAAATTCTTCACTGTCAGGCAACCGATCAAAAATCTCAATGCTCGAAAAGGCTTAAATTTGGTGCTGCTTTAACTGATGATCATCTCAGGTGTGAAAATGCTAGTACAACACAAGCAAATTGATATTTTTTCATTTATCAAAAGTTATTTATTTTGGTCACATGAAACACAGTTATCTTGCTGATGCCTTCTTTAAGAAGCCTGTGATAGTATATAACTACCCAAAAGAAACCAAGCCATTTAATGTGCGACTGAATGATGATGGGAAAACAGTGGCAGCATTTGATGTAGTTCTTCCAAAGGTTAGCACTTTACTTTTTGGATAGATTCCGATTCAATGAAAAATTATTTCTTAAACTCGGGCCCGACTGTTGTAGGGTGGAGTAGTAATTTCTGGCAGCCAAAAGGAGGAGCGTCTCGATGTATTGTTGACAAGGTATAAATTATTCATCCGAAACGTAGACACTTTCACATCTTTTATTTATTTACTAACATAGACACGCGTTTATATCCACGTGTAGTAGGTTAGATGTCTAGATTTAGGTTAACCATTATAGGTCGGCTCATGGTCAATAAAGACCATGAGAATAATAAAAGGTTTAAAGAGAATAAGTTGATCATAGCGACTGCCCACCAACCAAATGTAATAGAATCATGCAGTTACCTCGTGAGATTAGTCGAATTTTACCCGAAAAAAAAAGAGAGAACATCTTAAAGTTGAAGAATCAAAGTAAAAAAAAAAAAGTCTAATTATGAGCTGTTCTAGTGTGTGTCACTAGGCATGTGAAAAAAGTAAATATGCTTTTAAGAAATGGGTTGAAACTCCATGATAACTGTCCTAGAAAGTTATTGGTTTGTTGTAATATGGATGTTGACACACAGGATGAAGGAGATGGGGCTGCCAAGAGAGCAGTACGAGTGGTACTTGGAGATTCGAAGGCATGGAACAGTGAAGCACTCTGGTTTTAGTTTGGCATTTGATCGTTTCGTTCTGTTTACTACTGGCCTTACTGATATCAAAGATGCTATTCCGTTTCCAAGGAGTCTTGGAAAGGTCAGCCATTAAACCGAGTTCAAGCCCAAATTTCTAGATCAATGACCTCATATGCCTGCTGCTGCTGAAATGGAACTCAAAAATGACTTGTGTTTGTTTCTCCCTAAGATTTGTTCTTGTAAATAACAGAGAATTTGGAATAAAATGAGAGATCTTTATGGAAAAGACTCGTTCATGAGTTTATACTTACCAACATTGATCAAGAGATTAGAAGTTTGAAATGCATTGGGTTGATTATTGTTAGAGAGGAGTCCTACTTCGATTAATTAAGAGGTTGATCATGAGTTTATAAGTAAGAAATATCGTTTCCATTGGTATGAAGTCTTTTGCCCTTAACCTACCCATTGAACTAAAAATGTTACCGTTCCCTTCACTAATCGATGTGGGACTCTTGAAGTCTTTGCTAGCACTCGTGTCCTTCACCAGTAGATGTGGGACCTTCCAAATCGGGGGGCTTAACGTCCTCGCTGACACTCATTCCCTTCTCCAATCGATGTGGAACCCCTCAAATCCACTTCTCTTCGAGGCCTAGCGTCGCTTCGTATCCACCCCTTCAAAATATGAACATAAGTTAATAGACAAAAAAAAATTTAAAAGAGATATTTGGTATAATTTGACTTAGATTTGAGTAACGCATTTTTTTATTTTTATTTTTATGTGAAGCATAATAAAAGGGAAGAAAGAGAAGGGGGGTAGAGCGAGTGCCTTTAATTGCGCACACATGGATTCCGATTACCAATGTGAATTCATGAGCATGCTATCAAAGCCAGTTGGGACCCAATTCAAGCGCCAAAAAGTTGATTATATTTACGAATTTCCCGATAATCATGGCGTATTTCAGTGCCTCCTGTCATGAGGTTGTAGTTATAGTCATTACTATCCATTTCGGACCGCACAAAAACCTCCATTGCAAGCTTCTTCATCTTCTTCATCTGCATCAATGGCGAGTGACGAGGATCAGGGCGGTGAGGAGTACTTGTACAAGATTGTCCTTATTGGCGACTCTGCTGTGGGCAAATCGAACCTCCTCTCGCGATTTGCTCGGAATGAGTTCGATACCAACTCCAAGGCTACAATCGGCGTCGAGTTTCAGACTCAAGTGGTGGAAATCGACGGCAAAGAGGTGAAGGCTCAGATCTGGGATACTGCTGGCCAGGAGCGATTTAGGGCTGTCACTTCGGCCTACTATCGCGGCGCTTTTGGTGCGCTGATTGTCTACGATATCAGCCGTCGGACAACCTTCGACAGTGTCAAGCGGTGGCTCGACGAGCTTGGCGGTACGTTCTCTTTGAATCTTTCTGGTTGCTTTACTGTTCAGTTTGTTTGCAGAAGCTTTATAAATCCAATTTTTTGCTTTTGTGTACTAGAATCTGTCGCTGGTTTTGTTTATTGATTCTTTGATTTGTGTAGAACTGTAAGTAAGACAAGAATGATGGAAAATTCAGGGTTATTGTTCATTCTTCTTTTGTTGGGGGAAAGCTGGATTAGATTGGTGAAAAAGGTTGAATCATGTGTTCTTTTACTTCTTAAAGTTGCTTCAGTGAGTAGTTTTTAATGTACTAAAGGATGAACAGTGTTGAGGTTTGCCAAATTTACATCCAAGAGAATTGTATATTGTTTAGACCCGTGTACTGGTTGAAATCAGATACAAAAGGAAAAGTGTGGAGGGACCTTAATTGTTAATTTTGTTCACTTTGAGCATAAGTTCTTATGACTTTGGACTTCCCCAAAAGGCCTCATACCAATGGAGAGAGTATTCTTTGATCATAAACCTATGATCATTCCCTAAATTAGTGGATGTGGGACTTTCATCATCCAACACCTCCCCTCGAACAAAGTACGCCTCCCCTTAATCGAGACTCGACTTCTTTTTCTTTTGGAGTCTTAGTCATTTTTACTATGCCTTCGAGGAAGCTCGACTCCTTTTCTTTTGGAGTCCTTTGTTCGACATTTGAGGATTTACCAATCTATTGGCACGACTAAGTTTAGGGCATGACTCTAATACCATATTAGATGAACACGACTCTCCACCATGGTATGATATTGTCCACTTTGAGCATAAGTTCTCACGGTTTTGCTTTGGGCTTCTCCAGAAGGCCTCACTCCACGTCGAGGGACTTTCAATATCTAGTCAAATTTAGGGCAACTGCTTGTCAACCCATTATAGTGAAGTTTGAACTTCAGTTTGTGGCATTTGAAGGTATTACGGAATAGTTGCTTAGTCGGTCCAGGCCTATCCTAACAAGTGACTAGATGTTAGTTACTTATTGTTTTTTTTTTTAGTTCAACCATCAACATACGTTTTGATCTCCAATTTATGCCTTAACCAAATGAACTTTGCTTAGGTTGGTAGGGGTTAGTCACCATTGAATCAAGGACCTAATAACTTCTTTTTCCAAAATTTGAATGGTATGCTTTCTCATTTGAAAATGAATAAGAAACCAATGGATATATTTTTTAGTCTCTATATTTCACGATGTTGTCCTGTAACAACCTAAGTCTACCGCTACCAAATATTGTATTCTTGGGTTTTTCCCTTGGCTTCCTTTTCAGAGTTTCAAAGGAGAAGTTTCCACACCTTTATAAGGAATGCTTCATTTTCATATGAGAAGTTTCCACGCTTACCCTTTGCTTCCTTCTCAAAGTCTTAAAGGATAAGTTTCCACACTCTTACAAGGAATGCTTCATTTTCATAGAAGTTTCCACATTTTCCCTGGCTCCCTTCTCAGAGTTTCAAAGGAGAAATTTCCACACCCTTATAAGGAATGCTTCATTTTCATAGAAGTTTGCACGTTTTCTCTTAGCTCCCTTCTCAAAGTTTCAAAGGAGAAGTTTCTACACCCTTATAAGGAATGCTTCATTTTCATAGGAGAAGTTTCCACACCTTTATAAGGAACGATGCTTCATTTTCATTGGGCATCTTCTCCGATGTCTGGCTCTGATACCATTTGTAATGGCTAGCCCACTAGCAAACATTGTCTTCTTTGAGCTTTTCCTTCTGGGATTTCCTCAAAGTTTTTAAATGCATATACTAGGAGGAGAGGTTTCCATACTCTTATAAGGGATGATTCGTTCTTCTCTCAAACCAACGTGGAATCTCACATATCAACCCTAAACTAAACTAAATTTTAATGTTAATAGTGATATTGCTTATACTTGAACATAGTTGTTTCTCTTGCTAGGGTATGGGTTACATTGACATCTTTGTATCTCTAGATAGGTCTATAAAGCAAGCAAGAAACCATCCCTCTGTGAACATGATCTCATACCTTCATTGTGGTTTGCAATTTGTAAGATTATAATAAACTAACGTATCCCTCCCGAAACGATTACAGTTCATTGTGATACCGCGACGGTGAAGATGCTGGTAGGAAACAAGTGTGATTTGGAGAACATCAGAGATGTGAGTGTGGAGGAAGGCAAGAATCTGGCAGAAGAGGAAGGACTGTTCTTCATGGAGACCTCTGCTCTTGATTCCACCAATGTCAGAACAGCCTTTGAGCTTGTGATTAAGGAGATTTACAACAATGTCAGCAGGAAAGTCCTCAACTCTGATTCTTATAAAGCTGAGCTTTCTGTAAATCGAGTAAGTTTGGCTGATGGGGCTGCCTCCTCCAAAAAAGGCTTCTCTTGTTGTTCTCAATGAGTTTCGAATTTTTTTTTTTTTTTCGGGTCAAATTTTAAAAAATATTTAATAGGCCAAATTCCTGTCAGACGTATTGAAAGTGAGATTTATTAGATATCAAATGGAAAGTTTATGGACTTATTAGTTACATTTAAAAATTTAAAAATATATTACACATCTTAAAAGATGTTCACGAGCTAAACTTGAAATTTAACGTTTTTTTTTAGTGTCATGGTTTTGTGGTGTTCATGAATACTCAAATGTGGGTATGTTTGGCTACAAAAGTTTTAAAAGGACATTGTATTCATTACTTATAAATTTATGATCTTTCTCTTGGTACTGTTCCTCTGAGAATTCATTCTCAATCTCGAAGTGCTAAGGAGAAACTTTGATGTAATGTATCTATTAATGGTGTGGTTAGATTATCACATACAAAATTTTAATTTTAAATTTATAAAAGGTAATATTTGTTTTTATTTTATTTTAACTCTTATTTAAAATTATCTAGACACAAATAAATTATTATAAATATTTGCTTAAATATATAAAATACTGAATAATGAAGAAAAAAAAAGGGATTTAATATGATTTGTAAATTATTAATTGTGATACGAAAAAAAATTTCCTTTAAAATCTGATGTTTGGGAGAAAATATCTGCCCTTCGAGTGCGCGCGGCGGAGACGGCAACTTCATGTCCTCTGCCTTGCGCTTAAGGCCGAGTCTGATGCCGACCTGCTGGAGATTCTATGTCGCATGGATCTTTTCGAATGCGTCTACAAGGTATGTGCAATATCAAATCCTCTTGTTTGATGATTTCTATTCTCTTCCATGTCGCATGGTTCTGGTTCTGGTTCTGGTTCATTCTGCAAATTTAAACTAATATTCTTGATTGCATTGTGCAAAAGATTCTAGCATATGATGAACGAACAATTTAAGCATCGTATATATATATATATATACACATTTATGGGATTGGGTATTGGTAACCCTAAGCACCATAATGACGGCTTTGTGGCCAAATGGTTGTGGTGCATCTTCTGGAAACCTAAAGACTTTGTGGCGTAGTCATTGTGAACAAATACGGTCCTCGCACTTTTAAGTAGGCTTATGGAATCTTCTAAAAACCCTTGGAAAGATTGTTTGGGTGCGGAGGAAACTCCCTTTAGCTCTTGCTGATATGAAGCCACTGTTTGAGGCGTCCATTTTGGTGCCTCTTGAGGATTGTTGTGAGAGAATCCATATTGGCTAAGGATTTGGATCATAGGTTTATAAGTAAGAAATACATCTCCATTATTACGAGACCTTTTGGAGAAACTAACAACAAAGCTACGAGAGCTTATACTGAAAATGGACAATATCATACTATTATAGGGGTCGTGGTTCTTAACACCTCCAGATATGGATAGGGAGACTG